GACTAATTTTCCCCCAGCAGTGTAACAGTTCATTAGGTCCAAGGCAGCCTAGGCCAGTGCGTACAGCTGCAGTTTGTTTCTGAGACCTAATCTAGGGAGACCCTAGTAGGAAGCGCGTGTATCCGTGCATCGCGGGACAGCATGCATACATGTGAAATACAGCCGGAGTGATGACGAAGCCACGTTTCAACGCAGGGACTCGCTGCGAACTCTTGATAGCAATCATGGGGCAAATGAGCGGCAGCCAGAATTTTAAATTGAATTTTAGTAACTTAACGCGACGTGGACCAACAGGGAGGTTGGTGGAAAGACACATGGTGGGAATCGGTCCTGCATTTGTTTGGAAGCGAAAAGGTTTTGTCTAGAAAGTTCCCCCTCCCACCCTGCCCTGGAGGGGTGAATCCTGTGCAAGTGAGTAACTCGGAGAAGGAATGCAGACGCCCCGTGGCTCGGCCCAGGGTAACTGAGTCAGCGGCTGAGCCGACTCACAGCCAGGGAAGTGTCCCCTGCTGACAGCAACGTGGTGGGTGTTCTCGGCCTCTTCCAGCCTAGGAGGGGCTTTTTTCGTTTCCCCGCCTTATAGTTGGAGATTGTGGGTGCAGGTCAAGGAAGCTGCCTGGCTAGGAACGCGTGGAGCCAGGATTGTGGCTTGCTGCCGGGTTAGAAATGCAGACTCCAGGATTCTTTGCGCCTGGGCTCGGAGAGGATTTGCCTGACTGCCGTGCTTGTGTCTGTGTTCAAAATGCAAAAACAAAGAGATGAAATTAATTAGGATAATACATTTTACCTATCCCGGTATGTCAAGTTACAATATCTGAGCTACATAAGACCGTATAACTAATATTTGCTAGCTGGGATAATAGAATGTGTATTTTAGCTGTGAAGCATATATCGCATCGCATTTCTAGTCAGGACAAGTGGCCAACAGCCACCGAATTGGACAGTGTAGCTCAAAGAATAAGGCAGAGACTCATCCTGAAAAGCAAAGGTAGATAGCTCTGAAGACATGGGGGGGCTCTGTTGGTGGGCCAGGAGCACAGGGTAGGGGTGCTCCCTGTGAGGAAGTTAGGGGATTTGGGTCAGGAGTTTAAGCAGCCACCTGCAAAGCTCGCATCCCCTAGCAGAGTGCCGGAATGAGTCCTCTCTGCTTCTGAGCCAGCTTTTTCTGTCGCATCCTCAGAGTCAGCAAATGATGCCCGGCTCCCGGCTTCGGGGGGCCCCCCCTCAGCTCTGGCTGTCGTGCGTGTTTGGAAAGCCTCAGTAAATGGAAGATTTTTTTTTTTCTCTACAAATGTCTAACTCTCTATTGCACTGCCTTTCAAATAAAAATAAATAAGTTGAAAAAAAAAAAAAGAGGAAAGGAAGTGGCCCTATCTGAGGGTGTTATTGCTGCAGGGCTATTTCTGGAGAGTGGCAACGTCCTGCTGACCGTTTTCAACGCCGCAGCACCGACCGCAGGAAGACTGCTGGCTGCCGATGCTAAGCCACCGTGCCGTCAGAGCAGTGCCTCGGCGAGTCTAACCTCCAAGAACGGAAGCCCCGGCTATTAATGTATGCAGGGATATTGTTGCCAGAAAACCGTTTTTCCACATGGGAAACTGTGGTGTCTGCCTGAGGAAAGCAGCGTGCACTAGTTACCTTATAAGGGCATTTCCAGACCTCGCCTGTGCCCAGAGCAACATAAATGATAGTTTCAGACGTCTTGCTCACCGAAACAGAGGTCACGCTGAACTTAGAAGATCTTTCATCATTTTTCCATGCTTTTAAAAAATTGCTATTTAGACGACAGACACCCATCTCCCGCGTCCCTCAGATCCTAGCAGTTGGCAGGGTCTGGGCTAGGCAGAAGCTTATAGTTTAATCTGCATGTAATCTAAGTACCTTCCCATAATTGTTGGTTATTTTTTTTGTTGTTGTTTGGAAGAGAGAGAGTTCGCGTGTGCTGGTGTATTTTTCCGGTGCTCACAGTGTCCTGGGCCAGGGGTGCAGCTCTAACCCAGGAATATACAATCACGTCCCGCTCTTGGGGTCAGGGGTCACTTAGCCATCCTGTTACCTCCCAGGTTCCAAGGCAGCAGGACACTGGAAAAATCAGATATCAAATCAGGTATTCAGGCATCTTAACCAGCAATCCAAATCTCGCCCCATGCTCTGTGCTTTGTGTTTTTCTTTGTCTCTTTCAAATAAAAATAAATTAAAAAAAAAACCCTCAAGTTGCTTTTTATTTCCTTTTCTGTGGTTTATTTTTCAAATATTTATTTATTTGAAAGACACAGAGAGGGGGAGACACACAGAGTGGAGGAGAGAGAAAGAGATCTTCCGTCTGCCACTTGGCTCCTCCAATGGCTACAATGGCTGAAGCTGACCCAATCCAGAGCCAGGAGCCGGAAGCTTCTTCTGAGTCTCCCACGAGGGTGCAGGGACTCAAGCCACTCTCTGCTGCTTTCCCAAGCCATAAGCAGGGAGCCGGGTTGCAAGTGGAGCAGCCAGAACATAACTGACGCCCATACGGTGCCAGTCTGAAATCAGAAGCCAGAAGCTTCTTTCAGATCGCTCATGTAAATACAAGGGCTTACACACTCTCCTGCCTTCCCAGACACACTAGCAGAGGGTTGGATGAGAAACGGAGCAGCCAGGCCTGGTGCAATGGCTCAGTGGCTAAACCCTTGCCTTGCACGTGCCGGGATCCCATATGGGTGCCAGTTCATGTCCCAGCTGCTCCACTTCTCACTAGCAAAATAGAAGATCTTTCTGTATCTCCTTAAATCCTCACTTTGCAAATGCTCCAGGATCCCGTATGGGCGCCGGTTCGTGTCCCTGCTGCTCCACTTCCTTTCCAGCTCTCTGCCTGTGGCCTAGGAAAGCAGTCAAGAATCGCCCAAAGCCTTGGCACCCTGCACCTGTGCGGGGGACCCAGAAGAAGCTCCTGGCTTCTGGTCCTCTTAGTTCCAGCCATTATGGAGACTGGGGAGTGATCCAGCAGACAGAACATCTTCCTCTCTGTACATCTGCCTTTCCAATAAAAATAAACAAATCTTACCAAAAAAAAAAAAAAACCCTTACAGACTATTAAAAATATCTTTAAAATAAAAGGGATAGAAAAAATTATTTGGTAGTCTTCAATATTGACCTCAAGGCATAACTTTAAGAGTAGTTGCTTATTTCAGCAAGTTTTTCTCGTAAGAAGGAAGGTTTTTCAAAACAGCCAGAGAGAGGGACAAAGAGATAGCTTTTATCTGCTGGTTCATTCTGTAAATGACCATATTGACCAGAGCTGGGCCAGTCTGAAGCCGGGAGCCTGTAGTTTCTTCCTGGTCTCCCACATGGGTGCAGGGTCCCAAGGCCTTGCTTGGGCCAGCCTCTGCTGCTTTCTCAGGCCGTGAACATGGAGCTGGATCAGAATTATAGCAGGTGGGACTAGAATTGGTCCCCATCTGAGATGCCGCCACCTCAGGTGGAAGAGTAGCGTGCTAGCCACAGCACTAATGTCCTAAAAAGTATTTTTAAGTTGTGCAGCCTGAAAGGGATAATGACAGTGCAGTTAAAGATTTATTTATTTTTATTATAAAGTCAGATATGCAGAGAGGAGGAGAGACAAAGAGGAAGATCTTCCGTCCAATGGTTCACTCCCCAAGTGAGCGCAACAGCTGGTGCTATGCCGATCTGGAGCCAGGAGCCAGGAACCTCCTCCAGGTCTCCCACACGGGTGCAGGGTCCCAAGACTTTGGGCCGTCCTCGACTGCTTTCCCAGGCCACAGGCAGGGAGCTGGATGGGAAGTGGAGCTGCTGGGATTAGAACCAGTGCCCATATGGGATCCTGGCGCAGTCAAGGCGAGGACTTTAGCCGCTAGGCCATCACGCCAGGCCCCTAGATTTATTTGCTTTAATTTGAGTTAACAATCCTCAGTTGCCAAAATACAGGAGCCTTAATGAGCTATTTCTGCTTTAAAATTTAAGGTAAAATTAACCTTGCTGAGCCTCAATTTTTAAGCCCTGAAAGTAATGTATAAATTCAGGGCTTTTATCCAGCTAGTAGAATTATGTCCCAGGATGCAGATTTATAGTTTCGCTTTTTATGCAGAGATCAAAGATCCTTTCTGGTGAAGGCAGAGCAGCCCCACCCTCCATTCGTTGTGTCAGTCCCTGCTGTGTGGCTTTGTCAGCCTTGGTGGCCTCTGGGCGCTCCAGGGGCAAGTTACAGAACCTGTCAGAAAGGTAGATGGTTTTCTCAGTTGCACAAGGAGCAAGTGAGAATTCTGTTTTGTGGGATTAAGCAGTGATACTCAAGAGTAAAATTACATGGAGAGAAATAGGAACAATCTTTGAAAATACCGACTTGGGCCAGTGTTGTGGCAATCGCATATGGTACGGGCAGCATACCCGAGTGCTCCGCTTCCAGTCTGCTTTCCTGCTGATACGCCTGGGGAAGCAGCAAAAGATGGCCAAGGTGCTTGAACCACGCACCCACACGGGAGACCCGGATGAGGCTCCCGGCTCCTGGCTTTAGCCTGACGCAACAACCCTGGCTGTTGGGCCTACATGGAGAGTGAACCAAGACATGGAAGATCTCTGTCTCTCTCCTCCTGTACCCCCATCCCAAGAACTCTGCCTTTTAAATAAATCTTTTTACAATGGTAGTGTAAGATCATTTGCAGCCCACATGAGTGGGTCTCAGTTGGGTCGCAGACCCTCTTGAACACGTGGAGAAGCAGAAGACGGAGATGCTCAGATGTTCATTAGTATCCCCACTGGCAAAAACAAAACAGCCTTCGTTCTTGGTATAGACTGCCCTGAGACTCTAAGACTTTCATAGAAAAATGCACAAAAGCACACACGTGGACAGCTTCTCCTGTGAATGCAGGGATCCAAGCCCCAGCTTCCCACCAAAACATGATTATAACTGCGATTGCAATTTTTCGGTCACCTGGAAAGCCTTTTCCTAAACAGAACCGTGAACTTCTGGCAATTGCCTAAACAGCGAGCTCACTGGCAGCCACTAGAGGGCACTTTCTGACCGGAAGCCAGGGTTGCTATTGGCACTGCTTGCTTCTGTTTCCCCGTGGCAGGTGGGGAATACCAAGAGAAGGGAGCCAAGTTTAACGATATCTGCATCATGAATTGTTCCTGCCGGCTGGGGGCCAGTATTGTGGCAGCGCAGGTTAAACCACCACATGGGGCGCCAGAATCCCACATGGGCGCTGGTTCATGTCTTCTCCCTGCTAATGACCTGGGAAAAGCTGCAAAGGATGGCCCCAGTGCTGGGCTCTTTACTACCCCTGGAGGAGATCCAGCTTGAAGTCCTGGCTCAGTTGTCAGAATTGTAACCATCTGGTGGGTGAACCAGTGGATGGAAGATCTTTCTCTGTCCCCCTCTCTGTGGAACTCTGACTTCCAAAGAACGGGATCCTTTTTTTTTTTAAGATTTATTTTTATTTTTATTGGAAAGGCGGATATACAAAGAGGAGAGACAGAGAGGAAGATCTTCCGTCCGATGATTCACTCACCAAGTGAGCGCAACGGCTGATGCTATGCCGATCCGAAGCCAGGAGCCTCAAGGCTTTGGGCCGTCCTCGACTGCTTTCCCGGGCCACAGGCAGGGAGCTGGATGGGAAGCAGGTCTGCCAGGATTAGAACCGGCGCCCATATGGGATCCCGGGCGTGCAAGGCGAGGACCTTAACCACTGTGCCACCGCGCCAGGCCTGATAAATCCAATTCTTATACTAATCATTAGATTATAGCATTTTTTAAGTGTGTCTAAAAAAAGTCTTACCTTGCCTCCCCCGTCCCTTCCTCAAAAATGGATTTCTTGGAGTGCCAGTTCAAATCCCAGCTGATCCAGTTCCCTGCCAGTGTCCCTCCACTGGCAGAGCAGTCAAGGTTAGCCCGAGAACTTGAGCCTTTTCACCCGTTTGGAAGCCTGGAGGGCTGCCTGAGGCTGTCCTCAGAGCTGTCAAATACAGGATTCCTACCAGAGAACAGTGGTCATTGGGAGAAAGGTTTCGTGGGGGAGATGGGAGTTATTTGGTTCTCTTGTCAATGGAACCCAATGGTTGGTGATTTTGTGTATTCCTCTTGACTGACAAAGTCAAATGCCTGCATTCTCTTTGTGTTTTTAAAAATGATTTTAATTTTTGATAATTTTTCACATAGTTGATTAGGGTCATAAGGCTCATGGGCTGCAGGGAGATAGGTGGGGTCACCGTTTCCATATGCTCTTTTTTTTTTTTCCTTTCTGTATCTGGGGGAAGGAAGGAGGTAAGGAGAGAAGCCACACCCAGCCTCCCAAATGCCTCTGCACCCTGGGATGGAGGACAACCACCTGATACCACCAGCCCAGGGTCCCTGATGGGGTGCATGCTCTGAAGGTCCTGCTCAAGAGGTTTCTATAACGCAACAGTTTTGAATTTCTGCTGATTTCACTACTCCAGGTATGATGGAAGTTCTCTGGAATCCACTGGCTGACACAGTGCACCTTAGAGTCTCTGTTTGCCCAGATAGTCACTGCCAACATTTGGCTGGGGGAGTTGATCAGTTTGTTCTGTCCCCTGTCCTCTGTTGTGGTACCAGGTGTCCTCTGCAGGCTCCAACGTACTGCCATGTCCTCCGTGTGTACCTGGACATGCTGTCCACTGCTCTAAGCCACTGAGGAGGCCCAGCTCGGAACCATGCACTCCATGATCAGACCGCAGAACCTGCACTTCTCTCTCTGATTGGGGTTCTGAGTCCAGCAATTCAGTTAGGGGATCCCCATAGAAACTTCACTAATGATCCTAGACTTGATTCTTGTGTGTGCCTGTCAGGACAGCGTCCGGCACAGTCTGTCGCCCCAATCAGCTTACTGCACACTGGTGGTTGCAATGGCTGGGTCAGTTGTCTCCAGCCCTGTCTTCTACACAAACTGATGGGTGTTGTAGCCCAGCCCGATCCTGCCCACCACACACTCGGTCCCCATGCAGACCAGTGGGAGTTGTAGCCTAGTTCGAGTGACACACAGTAACCCCCACGAGGCCCACCCCTGCCCTGGTTCCTGTGCTTGCCAGTATGTACAGCAGACTGATCCAGTCTGTCTCACATCCCATTCAGCTCTCATACATGTCAGTGGGTATTAGAGCCTAGTTCGACCCAACCAACCCCATTATCCAGCCTGCGCACGTACTGACGGGTGCCTTTCTGTCTAGCCATGCCTGCCCCAGTCCTGGTTTTTGTGCTCTCCGGTGGGATTGGCAACCCACAGTCAACCTAGCCTGGCATTTCCCTGATCTAGCTCACAAACAGGCCAACAGTATTATAGCCCTGCCTGGCCTGGTCTGCCCCCGTCCCAGTTCTCAGGCTCTCCAGTGGGAGTGGTGGTCCAGCAAGGGAGCCCCTCGCAGCCACCTGCTGAGTTCAACCCCTCCCACCCTGGATCTCACGTGTGCTGGTTGGGTGCTGCAGCCCAGTCTGGCATGGCCCGCCTCAGTGTTTGCCAGTGGGTGCTATAGCTTGGCATGGCCCGACCCACTCCCACTTCCAGCTGACGCTGGTGGCCTCCTCTGGGCTGCTCCCTGACATAGTTCTTGTGCTCACCTGCAGGGACTGTGTCCAGACAGAGTTCCGCAAACGCCTTCATTAAAACCTCTCCCAATGCCAGATCCCGCTCCCATTGGTGGGTCCATGGGCCAGCCCTACATAGTCTACCACCTATCCTAGCAGGAACAGTGGCCTTTCCTGACTGGCCTTCAACCCATTCTGGTTTTTACTGTTGAATGTTACAGCCAGCCAAGCCTGGTCCACACCCAGACACAGCTCACACATGGCTCAGCAGGGACAGACCTACCCTCATCCATCCTATATCTACCCTGGTTCTCACGAGCACCAGTGGGTGCTGGAGTCTAGCCCAGTCTGGCACACCCCAGACCCAGTACACTTGTGTCAAGGGACACTGAAACCATGTCCAGACCAGATAGCAGCCCCCATCTGGCCTTCGCACTCACCATTGGGAACCACAGCCCAGCCAGGGCATCCCCTTAGCTCCCCAACCAGGCCTGTTCCCAGCCATAGATGCCACGCATGCCAGTCATTGCTGTGACCCAGCTTGGCATAGTCCCTCATCTGTCTTTGCCTTTGGATGCTGTAGCCTGGCCTGACCTGGCCTGCCCCCAGTCCCGACTCTTACTGGCATGTGCTGGAACCCGGCCCTGTTCAGTCTGCTCCCATCCCTGGCTCACACAGGTTTGTAGGTGTGATAGCCTAGCCCAGCATGACCTGAGTTAAAGCCTGGTTTCTGCACTTGCTGGTAAAGTAAGGTTTGCTCAGCCCTGTCTGGTCCACCCCCTTCCACAACCAACCCACACATTAGCCAACAGTTAGGACTACTTTGCCTAGCTTTCCCAGTCCCCAGGCTTGGGCCATATGATCAGCAGCAGAAGTTATGACCCACTAGGGGAGTTTCCCACATTCCCCCACTCATCCTACTCCCAGACCCAGATCTCATGCATGCCAGCAGGTGCTATGCGCTTGCCTGGCATAGCCTGCCCCTCCATCTAGACTTTGTGTGAACTGGTGAATGTTACAGCCCGGGTCACCCCACACCCTGTTTTAGGATGCACTTGCGGGTGCTGCCACCTGAACACACCCAGCCTGTTCTCGCTCCATGCACCCATGTGTGAGGCCAGGCTCCATGGTCACACCTAGCTCAGCCCTTCACCGCTTCCGTCTGCTTGGAAGACATGGTGTGTGTGTGTGTGTGTGTGTGTGTGTGTGAGAGAGAGAGAGAGAGAGAGAGAGAGAGACTGTTCATATACTGGTTCACTCCCTAAATGTGCACAATGAGCGAGTAGGCCAGAATTCCCATGTCCATGTGGGTGCAGGAACCCACGCACTTGGGCCTTCACCTGCTGCCTTTTGGGTTTATTGACAAGAGATTGGATCAGAAGTCCGGCAAGGGAACAGGAACATGACGGCGCAGTGGGGAAAGCCACTGCCATATCCCGTGTGGGTGCTGTTCATGTCCCGGCTGCTCTTCTTCAGTCCAGCTCTCTGATGGCCTGGGGAAAGCAGTGAAAGTTAGCCCTGCCTGCCAGTCACATGAGAGACCCAGATGGAGCTCCTGGCTCCGGTTGGCCTTTCTAAACCCTGGAGAGTAACCAGCAGACAGGTGCTCTCCTCTCTCCAGGGAGCTCTGGCTTAGAGAAATAGATGAATCTTTTACGGAGTGGCAGGACTGGTGCTGTGGCGCTGCTGCAAGTGGATAGAGTATGTTTTTAACATTGGTTATGAATCAAGTGGCTCTTTGGGGTTCACGGTGGTAAGATTATGTATTTTTTTTTTTAATTGGAAAGTCAGACTGCAAGTGGATAGAGTATGTTTTTAACATTGGTTATGAATCAAGTGGCTCTTTGGGGTTCACGGTGGTAAGATTATGTATTTTTTTTTTAATTGGAAAGTCAGATATACAGAGAGGAGGAGAGACAGAGAGGAAGATCTTCCATCCGATGATTCACTCCCCAAGTGAGCGCAACGGCCGATGCTATGACGATCTGAAGCCAGGAGCCAGGAACTTCTTCCGGGTCTCCCACACGGGTGCAGGGTCCCAAGGCTTTGGGCCGTCCTCGACTGCTTTCCCGGGCCACAAGCAGGGAGCTGGAAGGGAAGTGGAGCTGCCGGGATTAGAACCAGTGTCCATATGAGATCCTAGCGCGTTCAAGGTGAAGACTTTAGTCACTACGCCATGGCGCCGGGCCCTAAGATTTTGTATTCTTGACCTCAGAATTGACAGAGCCCTTTCATCTTTTGAAAATTGTGTGCATGCAATATCTTCAGGAGCCACATGGTGGCAGAAAGGGTGCTTTACAAATGTGGATTTCAAAGCGTTTTGTCTGTGTCTTTTTTTCTCTGGAAAGGCAGATCAGATTTACCAAAGGAAGGAGAGACAGAAAGTTCACTCCCCAGATGGACGCAATGGCCAGAGCTGAGCTGATCCAAAGCCGTGTGTGTGTGTGTGTGTGTGTGTGTGTGAAGGCATTAAGGAAACAGAGGGAGAGAAGGATGTGAGAGGGGAGAGAGCATCCATTTGTTGGCTCAGTCATCAAATGTTCCCAGCAGCCA